GAACTGGCTGTGGTTGTTAAAAAGGTGTGTGAGTTTCTTGTTACTCTCCCAGGCTCCTGGGGTGCCAGCTAGGGCAGTCCGCTAGGGTAGGCGGCTGAAAACGGGTGAGTGGGGAAAGCTGAGTGACTCCCGGTGCTTTGTTTCCCGTTGAAGAGAGAATGGTTTTGTAACTACAGGACCCATTCAGAGGAGTGGTTAAATGTGGGCATCAGGAGGCATTCTTCAGGGCGGGGGCCGCGCTGCAAGGGCTCCGGGGGTGTACAGTCATGCAGTGAGCATGCCTTCCGTGGCAGAAGCCTGACGTTTGTTCAGCGGAGAGTTACTAACGACTTTAGGGGGTCCTGGAAAGCGGACAGGCCGCCTAAATGGAGCGGCCCGGGAGACCTGAAAGCTCTGACAGTCGGCCGGGGCCTGAGGCCGTACGGTGTAGTTGCATTGCGGGGCGGTAGGTGCCCAGAGGTAGAACTGAGGACAGATGGCACTGAGAGCAAATTGGGGCTTGGAGAGCTAACTCTGCACTCCTGGTGGTGGGGCCGCCTACGGGCTTGTTTTATTGTCTGTGCGTTGGGTGACTGGAAATAGAGGCACGCAGAAGTTGTTCTGCGCGTCCCGTGAAAATATTTTTTGTTGTTTCTGAGATGGGAAACCTGGCTGATGACTGCATGTCTAAGGGCTGGGGGAGGATTTACCTTCATATTGGGGATGATGGCTTACCTCGGTAGAAACCCAGGTTTCTGCAGGGGCAGGAGTGGCAGTGTATGCAGAGCTGACAGGGAGAGGCACAGCCAGCCGTCTCCTGCTGGGTGGCGTTGGATTGAGTCAGCGGTGAATGGGTTAAGCTCAGGGTTTTGTAGAGGTGGTTAGGGGTGACAGGAAGGGGGAGGGTGCGGGGCTGCAGGGCAGCCACAGGAGCTGCAGAGACAGATAAACAAAGAGTGAGCAGAAAGGTTAACAGCTGCGTTTTCGTCTGGGAGAAGTCCCACAGAGTGCCTTGGAAAAGTAGGTCATTTATCCACTCCAAAAGAGAGTCAAGAGTGGGAGCACGGGGGAAAAACCAGATGTCTTCACAGACGAGCAGAGAAAGGGGTAAAGCGGCAGCATAGGCAGGGGCAGGCATTTGGGTTTCTTTAGGGACTCAGAGTACTTACGGCTTTTTTTTTGGCGGGGGGACAGAGTTTCGCTCTTGGTACCCAGGCTGGAGTGCAATGGTGCAGTCTCGACTCATTGCAACCGCTACCTCCTGGGTTCCAGCAATTCTCCTGCCTCAGCCTCCCGAGTAGCTGGGACTACAGGCGAGTGCCACCATGCCCAGCTGATTTTTGTATTTTTAGTAGAGACGGGGTTTCACCATGTGGACCAGGTCTGGATCTCTTGACCTCTTGATCCACCCACCTCAGCCTCCCAAAGTGCTGGGATTACAGGCGTGAGCCACCGTGCCCGGCCTGTACTTATGGTTTTTAAGAGGAGGCAGGCAGCGGGGTCGCCCTCGGGCACCGGTATGAGACGCAGTTGGCTGGGCTGAGAAGGGAACTGGAGAACCGGCAGAGGATGGCCGTGCGCGGGTGAGCGGGCGCTTCAGGAGCTCTTTTTAATCTGGAAAGATGGCACCAAGAGACGTGTCCTGGGAGTTCAGCTGCGGTGCGGATGTGAGAAGCACTTGCAAGGGACCTCCCGCGTTGGTTTAAGGCGTGCTGGGTTCAGAGTTCTTAGGAAGACATGTTCTCCTGGTAGGAGGGTCTGGTTGGTGCGGCCTTCCTGGGGCTTTGGGAGGCCTGGTCCGCTTGTTCACGGAGGAGATGGCGGAGGAGGGAAAGTGTTGGCAGGTATTCTCCTAGCTGAGAGTTGGAAGGGGTCTGTTTTGTAAGAGGAAAGGGCGTCCATCCATGAACTCCAACGGGCTGAGGAAGGAGGGTGCTTTCGGGCTGGCTCTGATGCGGGCTAGGGCTGTGGGCAGAAGAGAGCTCCAGGGTGGCTGGGCTTCTAGAGCGAGTGTGGTTAACTGAGCTTTAACGACCCCATTTACCCTCTCACCTTTCCTGAGGAAGGGGCTGGTGTGGGGAATGGAGGCGCCGCTGGACGACGAGGGGCCTGTTGGGCGATTTGGGAGATGAAGCGAGGACCGATGTCTGATGGTATGGAGTGCGAAGACCAAATCTAGGAACGATTTCTGTTAGAAGAGTTGGGGAGACTGCTGCAGCTGCTTCTGAGGAGGTGGAAACGCTTCTACCCACCCGGAGAAAGTGTCTACAAGAGTAAGAAGAAACAGTCCTTTTAACTGGGGGCATACGGGTAAAGTCTATTTGCCGGGCTTCCCCGGGGAGTGTTCCTCTTAGCTGATGGGGAGGGATAGGAGGAGGGCGCAGGGCCCTGGGAGGAAGTGACAGAGCACGTATGACAGTTGGAGGTTATGTCTTTTAGTGAGGTGAATAGAC